CACACAAAGACAGCATGTTTCTCCTGCCACAAAAATCTAAGAATCCCTTGGGCCTGCTAAAGGCTTCTCTAATTCTTGGATTTCTGTCCTGGATTTGGGGGTGATAGATTGTAGGCACTCATTCAGAGAGCAGATGGCTCAGCTTGCTGCTGAAAATGAACTTCGTGATGAAACATAATATTAGGCAGAGATGTTAAATTTTCAATGTAGAAATAGCCTGTTGTTACGCATTGCCGGACACAATCTCTTTGTGACCTTGGGCAAGTCACAACCTCCCTGATTCTCTACTTCCTTTCCTAGTCTGTAAAGTTAAGAGGAAGAGGTTAGATGAGTTCTGTCCAGCTCTAATATGGATTCTTTCTGTTATAGGGACTTCACTATATACTACAGATGCATGTGATCTCTGATCTATTATCAAACAAAGAACTGGTTTTTTTTTTTTAGGGAAAGTCAAGCTAAAAACCCAAGAAATACCTGAAAAGATAAAAAGTTGCACTAGGAATCAAACCCTCTTCAAATAAAGGATAGGGATGAGGGGAAATAAACTGTAACTTTCAACACAGAAGTCTAACCTCAAACTTAAGTGGATTTCTCTAAGTGTGTTTACAATGCCTAGATAGAATTCAAGAATTGCATGCACTGAATTACTTAACACTCTATATATTGCTGCCTAGAAATATGTTTTAAGACATCTCTTTAAAAGCCTTCAAATGAGAATGATGCATTCTCAGAGAACAATAATTTTAATGGTGAACAACGCATATGGAAAAGAATTTTGAAGCCAGAAATCTGACAGGTGAAAAGAGGCATTTTCATCACAATAGAAGTAATCCTTTTGCATTATTAATACTTAAGGCAAATTTAAACACAGTCATACTGGTCATTGAATTTTTTTCCTTTCAACTCTTTTTTCTAAATTTAAGATGCTATTAATAATAAATGATAACAACCAACAATTACTGAGTACCAGGCACTTCTAAAAACCTTACAAATATCCTCTTCTTTAGCTGTTATGACACATCAGGTAGGCACTTTGATTAGCCTCCTTTTAAGGAAATAAAAACTGAGGCTTAGAGAGGTTGTATGTCATTTGGTTATTGAGTAGTATATTCAAGAGTCTAAACCCAAATGGTTTGGCTTCAGAGCCTATACCTTAACCACTATGACAAGCTGCCTTTTTTCCAAAACCCAAAACACTTTGTCGTGATGTTCATTTTACTCATTCAACAAATATCTATCATGGGTCAGGCACTCTTTGAGTTGCTAGAGATACAGCTTAAAAACAACATTGATAAATTGTCTGCACTCATGGAGCTTAGAATGTTATCGGAGAAATGCAGATATGAAATTTAAAAAGTAAGTAAAATATTGGTATGACAGTTGGCAATAAATGCTCTGTAAAAAATTAAATCAGAGCTGGAAAATCAGGAGGACTGGAGCATGATAGGGAACATTTTTAAACAGGGTTTAAATAATATTGCTACCCAGACAGAGGCAAGAACAGTCTTCGTGAATAGGATACCATCCATTAAAAACATAATGTTGACAAAATATTCCCCTTGGTAAATCCAAGTTTCTTTGGTTACGTTATTTGCAAAAATTCTGCTGTTTCTCCCGTTAAGTATTTGCCCTGTTCCTTCATCACTCTCTAAATGACAGGTAAAAATAGTCCTAAGCCATTTCACATTTGTAAATATCTACCTTACTGTAAGCTTAGTGTCTTGTGCTGTTTAAAGACAAAATTAATTTTCCCCAACACCTTTTTATCACTATAGTAAATGTGTTCTGACCTAAAAACATTACAATTTAGTGAGGGGTCTCTGCCTCTGAGTCCCCATTCTAAGGCCCTCCTTGGAGGTGAGTAAATTCTACCACCCAGGATGTGCAATAGCCCTTTAAAGAAAGACAAAGGAAAAAATGATGCCAGAACTCTCCTCTGAGACTGAGTTTCCTCTCCCAAGAACTCTCCGAGCTCTCAATGGGAAGGAAATGGAGAACACTTAAGAATTTGACCAGAAAAAGGTCCAAGAATCTCTATTCTGACCAAGGGTGGGGCTGCTTTTGCTTAATCCATTAAATGGAGAAGCCAAATCATTGCTCTTGGTTTTTCATTGAGAAATTTGCCAGGAGGTGTAACCAGGAGCCCTTCTCTCTAGAGGAGCTGTCGCCACACACCTTGGTTCCTCAATTCCAGTTCCGCTTATAACAGTGATGGCAAACAGTTTCCAAAGCAAGCTTCTTCTACACCTAGAGGGAAAGGAATCTGTCCCTGGTATCCCACCCAAGGGAAATCTTGTTCTACTATTAAAAATCTGTAGGGAGGAACTATAAACATACAATGTTTATAGGTGGAAAACTGGTCTTGCTGTGTTGTTTTCACTGTTTTTGAAAAGAACCGTGATAGGACATGTACATCCTTAAAGTCAATTCTAAAAATCTCTTAGATTTTGTGTTCAAAAAGCCTTCAGAAATGAAATACTATGGAGCACTTATAGGACTAGTTGGACATTTCCAACATGTTAATAATAGGTGTGTCTGCCTGATTACATTATTTATGATTTTATTATCTTTTCTTTTTTATACAGTTTCTTTCTTTAGTATATAGTACTTTTTTTTTGAGAGGGCATCTCTCATATTTATTGATCAAATGGTTGCTAACAACAATAAAATTCTGTATAGGGGACTCAATGCACAATCATTAATCAACCCCAAGCCTAATTCTCAACAGTCTCCAATCTTCTGAAGCATAATGAATATAGTACTTTTATAGTCACAAAAGAGAATATTATATATTTTTCAAACCTGTTTGCATAGGGGCTTCACCTGTATTTGTAATGTTTTGTCACATTTTTTAAATGAAGCAAATATGTTAAAAAATCCTAAGTGGTAGAAAGGAAATGATTTTCTACATGTTCATAATATTTTATAATAAATTTTAGCTTAATGTTTTCAGTCTTGTAGAATACAAGGCACTGTACATGACAATATTAAGTTTCTCTCCCTTGAATACCCAAAGGTAAGGTGAATTCAAATCCAAATGAAAATTCTAAAATTCAGAAATCTTTCTTTTCAGGAAAATCTACCAAGTAAATTAGAACCTGAGTCAGCATCATTCTTTTCTTCTCTAAACAAGACACAAATGATGGCAATAAGATGGCATTTTTTTTTTTAAACCAGGAAAACCTGTTTGACCTCCCGGTGTTACCAATAGGGAAAGCTGGGGCATCCCTGGTGTTTTTTCCTGGCAGAAAAATGTTAGCATTTTAACATTTGGCAAGCTGATGGTTTTGACTCTGAAAAAAACTTAAAGGTACAGCCATTTTATTTTCATTTCACATTATACTTAGGTTTTTCCTGTATCATTTTTTTGGTGAATTGTTATGTTTTCCTCCTGAAATGAAAAATATTTCATATATGTACGTTTGGGGTCTCTTTCTGGAAGTTTATTTTGTTTTAGAAAGTATTTTTTAGGAAACAAAAAGATTCAAGACATTATGCAAAGCATAATGTGAAATATGAAAGCAAATATGTAACATGTTTACTACCAGTAATATTTAAGGGAATATTTCCTTTAAATGTTTCTGCCTAATATCATTTTTTCCTCTATCCCATTGATAAAATTGAGTCCTCGAAGCAGTTGGTGATTTTCACTTTAAAGATTCCTTTTTAAAAAGAACATTTGCCTCCTGTTGGATCTGAGTGTTTATAACCCTGATTTAGGGTAAAGACGGTATTCAAAAGGCATTATTTCTAATCTTTTGCACTCTCCTCTTGACATTTTAAGGACTATCCAAAAATCCTCCCACTGGGATCTTTAAGCTTAAAATAAATTTCCAAGAATTCCTTCCTAGGCCTTGGAGTCCACAGAGAAAACTGGACAGGAAGACACCTCCATGAATGGGACTGCAGGTGACAGAAGCTAAGGGAAGGGCCCTGGGAAATTTCACTGAGATGAGAGACCAGTTAACAAAAGCAATGAGGCGATCTAGAGAGATGCCCAGTTCTAGATTTCTTCCCGAGAAAATATTATTTTTGTGGGGAGGGAGAGAGGTGAAGTAAAAGGTGCCAGATCTGAAGAAAGAACCGAAGTCTTTATTTGGGGTCTCTCTGCTGTAATACCTGGTAGGGAGGGTGCATGAGTTCTCAGCTTAAAATTTCGTATGTACGGAGCATTTAGCTGTATTCATCATAATACACACAATGAAGCGAACGAAGCTGCCTCTCACAGCTCCGTTGGCCTAGCTGTGTTCCTTAACACTCCCACCTCATCAGTCCTTATGACCCAAATTTCGGGGCATCCCTGCAGGTGGTCCTGCGGGCACTCCTCTGGGCTGGCGCTAGGTCCTCGGCTGCAGCCACCGCGGCAAGGCTGGAGGCCGCAAGCCGCAGCTGAGCGCCTCCCAACACCTCCCTCCTCCCCGCCCCGCCCCTACTCAGCGGAGCTCATTAACAGGTGGAATCGCACCCGGGACGCTGAAATCCCGCCTGCCTCCATAGAAACCAATTCTTCAAACCCAGAGCACCATCTGGGCGGGCTCCCGGGCCCGACGTTCGACGTGCCCTGTTGCGAGGTCAGCGCTGCGGGGAGCCGGGACTCCCGCGGGACGCGCCAGCGAAAGCGCAGCACGTGCGCCCCGCCCCCGCCCTCCTGTGCACCCAGCCTCACAGACCGAACTCCGCCTGCTCCCCGCCGGGCCTCAGCTCCTTCCAGGCCTTAAGGCATTGTCGACCCTGTATGGAAAAGCTGGCTCAGCCAGGGCAGAGAGGAAGCGGCAACAGGCGACCCGCCCAGGCAAGCTGAAATCCTTTGCGGTTACCTTAGTCTGGAAGGAGGCACCAAGAGTTCCAGCCCCGAAAGGGGATACCAGGGACGAGGAGACCTGGCCCAGGAGTGCCCAACCTCGGCGGGTCTGTAGTCCCTGCTCCCCAGCCTCTGCTGCCCGTTCGGAGGGTACGAGCCCCGCGACACCCAGCGAGCCCTGGCCCTGCCGGCGCGTTACCTGTTGGCTGCCAGCCGAGACGCGATGTAGCCACCTGGAATCTGGGTGATGATGTAGCCCCAAAAGAAGGAACCGTGGATCATGCCTACGGTTTCCGGGTCCCAGTTGAATTTGGCTTTCTGCAGGGATCAGGGGGAAAAAACGGATGAAGGGGGAGAGAGTAGAATCAGTGCTTAGACTGAAGATTGATGTTCAGTATTTCTTGGACCAACCCCCCCGGGTGCTTCCCTGCATTCTGGAGATGAAGGTGGTTTAATTTTCGTTTCCTAACAAAATTGAATCCATACCTTATTATAGTAAAGAAATACCTCTTTTAACTGAAAACCGTGCTCACTTAAATTGTATTGTGGTTACTAGCGAAGCTGGGAGCCCTGGCTTTGCTCCACGACTACTACTATCACGTCGGGCCGGACAGACCCCTTGGACGAGTGACCACTGGGCTCCGGAGTTGGAAATTAAGGGCTCTCCAGGAGGAGATTCCGTTGCTGGCTGGGGATAGAGACACCTGGCGGGCCCCTTAAGCCGCCGCCGGCCAGTGCGTACGCGTTGAGTCGCTTTGGAGAGTGGAATTCAACTGCGGAAATCCTGGGGATAGAAGGTGCAGAGGTTGGAGGAACTAGGAGGAAGGATGATCCCTGCAAAATGGGGATGGACGTGGGCTGGAAAGATTTGGAGAAGCCCGGGGAATGCTGGGGAGTCAGTGGAGAGAGAGGTGTTTCTCAGGACTGCGCCTAAGAGCCGGCGAGGGAGTGTGTCTGAAGGTCAAGGCCTAGCTTCGCCTTCGCCAGGCTGGGCGTCCCCTCCAAGTGGAGCGAAATAAATGCATCAGGAAGGTGAAGGAGCGCTTATTCTGCCAAAACTGGGGACCTTTTCTCTCCCTTTGAATAAAACTTGGAAACCAAACGCATTTTACAGGGTCTCCCAGAATCCCCAGGGCCCAGCGGACTTCACCGCTTCGCATCCGCAGTAGGTTCCCGAATTCCTCCTCCCAACCCTTGCTTTCCCTGGTGTGTGGCCGCTCAGATCCCTAAGCAGGAAGTCTGGACCGACGGGTTTCTGTGGCCATGCGTTGCTCCGCCTCTCCCTGTGCGTTACCCTAACACATACATTTTAAGATTATGGGACTGGATTCCCGTGACCTAGGGGGACTCTTCCTGAGCGGAAGCTCTCACGCGGACCAATTAGGTGGCCTGCTCTTCAAAGTCCCTGAGCAGAAACAGCCGATCTGCGTACAGTTGATTTGTCGGTTTTGTATCATTTTGATTATTAAGAATACTTAGCAGGAAGTCAGGGGAAAATTATAACATATGCTGCTCTATTCTTTCGAGTAAAAGAAAAATATTTCGAAGTAGATTTAGCTGACATTATTAAGCACCAACTTTTGTCTGAAGTCACTCTTCACAACAACCTAGTGAGCTAGATGCTATTTTCCACTTTGCAGGTAAAGAAAGGAAGGCCGAGAGAGCAGCCCCGGCTCGCTCCAAGAGGCAACGGGAATAATACCCAAGCGTCTGTTCTAGAATGGCAGTGATGAGGCTGAGGGTGCATCCGGGCCTTCCTCATTCGGGGGGCGGGGAGCTAGAAGGCTCAGACAGGTGAGTGGCCTCGCGAAACCCCGCGGCCAACGGCTGCCCACCTCCTTGATAACCTTGCCCCCGCGGTGGATAGTGCTATTGTTGACCATGTCCACGATGGCCACGCCCAGGTTGCAGCGGATGCCGAAGGAGATGCAGAAGCCCAGGCCGCTCATGATGGCGATGATGTAGCGGCGCGGCAGGCCGAAGCACGTGCAGTCGCACAGAGGCGCCTTCTTCTCAGGCACCTCCAGAGGCTTCCCATCCTCCGTCAGCTCGATGGTCTCCCCGGTCTCTTGCTTCTTCTCCAGCACCCTGCGCGGCAGAACGGGGAGAGGCAGGTTGGCCGCGGGTTAGGCACCCGGAGGCCCGCCCTGCCAGTGCTCAGGACCCTGTTAAGGTGATAAGGCGACACCAGGCTTCAGGACCCCTCACCTCCCCGGCCTGCTGACAGTGCCCTCCCCGCGGCAGCCTCCCTTTAATACCTTCTGGTCTAAGACAGCCAGTCCCCATTCCCTCGGGATCCATCATGCGGCACCTTGAATCACACGTACAGGCCGCTTGGGCATAACTTTCTTGCCGGGTCTGCAGTTTGAGGAAAGGGGTCCCCAGCACCTGTGTCCACGCCTCGCACCCGCAGTGCTTTCTGCCGCGACAGGCGGCTTTTTCCAGCCTCCTGCCGGCCGCTGCGCTGCAGGTGGCCTGGCCTAGCCCTGAGCCGCGATACCCCTTCCTTCCCGGCAAGGTGGAGCTCTCTGGGGTGAGGACGCCGCGATCCCGCCCCCCAGCTAAGTCCGGACTAAGGCCGCTCCGGTCCCGGCCCCGCGGAGAAGGTCTGTGAACGCCCTCCGAGGGTGTCACGCATCTACTTCCCCTTCTCCAGCTCCAGAATGCCAGTTCAACGTTTACTCTCCTATTACACATTCTTACTTTTTTCGCCTTATTACTCGAGTTTGAAACAAAGGCCTCCGCAACATATGGCCGACACCTAAGCTTCCTACTGCCGGAACATGAATAATTAATTATTCACACTCTTGCGTCATTACTACCTCGGTTACAAACACCGAAAAACACCAGGGGGCCATATCCAAAGATGTAAAATGCGATTCTCAGATACACAAACGTGCCCCCAAATCAACTCTGATAAGGTGTCGCACGCCAAGGTAGAACACCACATTCCTTTTGTGTTTTCTAATTTGCATAGTATTTCACAAGACTTCGCCCATCTAATTCTATTCCTTTTTGGGTTTCCGTCCTTGGGGGGAAGAAAGAGAGGAAAACAGTGATGGAATACTGATAGTATTGTTTTAGTTCACAATATGTGCTTGAAAGTTCTATAAAAAGAGAATTCGAACGTAACAATACAATTACCGTGGGCCCTTGAGATGGTTACATTCCATTTAAACAAAGAACCTCTCCGTTTAAAATTTGCTGATGTTTTCCAATACACCATATAATTTATTTTTGTGTGTGCCCTTTTAAATGATCTATCCACACACAATTATTTTCATACACACGGGTAAAACAAATGAAAATTTGAGATTAATTCCAAGAATGCACAACTTGGGATATGACTGTCAAGCAATTTGAGGCTACCAGAAAAAAATGTCAAGCTTCTAATTTCTACAAAATACCACGGGATGAATAGGCCATAACGGTTTTTGTAGCTATGTTCTTATTCCTAAAGTCCAATCCCAGTGTTAGAACACATGGCAGTTTATTTATTCTAGGAGAGAGAAATAAAACTGATGTGGTTAAAAACATTGGCTTCATATGCTCACATATGCAAAGCTGAACTCTGCACCTAAACTCTCCACCTGATGGCAATTGGGCTGGGAAAGAACAGGTCTTTCTGGGGCAGCTCTAGGACTGCAGGGCCCATGCGGTATCTACTGCCGCATAGGTGCCTGACGGTGCCTACATGAAGCCCACCAGAACTGAAAAGGTTTGAAAAATTGGGAGATGCATTGGCCATTTTTAAAATATTTTCTAAACATTTCTAAGAGCTTCAATTTCCCAAATGTGAAAGTTAGCATTCTCTTGGAATCGTTTATCCTTTCGTTTCTGCTCTCTTCTCTTGATTTTTCTCATATTATTAAGAAAGTGTATTCATGTAATATTCTTGGAAGGATTTAAGATTGTGAAATTTACAGCATAATTAGTACAGTGACTATAGGGAGGCTATTTTTAAAAAATCATTTCTAGTACTTTCAATGTCATTTTGCTGATTATTACTGTGGTTTTTCTCATTAGCACTGTGACATTTCAAATGCAAGACATAACACTTCTAGGAGAAGTCAAATAATTAAAAACATTGTTTTGGGTTCAAAGAGAGGAGCTGCTTCAGCCATCAATTATTTATATATTTTGATTCTTCTTCCTTCCATACTGAAGGAAGATTCCACTGGGGGATTCTCTACTGGAGTGGTTTTGAACTGAGATCTAAATTTCTTTTTGCTATTACTCTTTGGAATTTCTTGGTTATTTTTTTTTTTAGAGAATTGTGTTTTTTTATTCATTTGTCTGCATCAAAGGAATTTAATTTGGTGTCTTTATAAGCAACAAAAGACAGGTTCTTTGAACAGGTGCTGGTCATTTCTCAATCGTAAAGAGGATTAAGTCTGGGCAGGAAAGGATGAGATTCTGCAGGTACCAAAAACAAAAATCACACACACACAGATACACAAAGCAGACAGGTTCATTTACTGCAACATTCCTGAATTAACAAGCAGGTTTCCAGAGCAGCCCTACTCCAGCAATGAGGAACAAAAAAAGATTTTCCGATCACACTACAATCTCTCTAAGCAACCAGGGTTTTACGGAAGTAGCCCTGCAGATTTTTTCATGCTGAGCCCCAGGCAAATATAGGTTTCCTTTCTCTTACCTGTAGATCTGGCCAAGGGATTTTCCAGCAAAATTCTTTAGCCCCTCTTTTCCTGGGGTCAAAATCCTTTGTTTTACCGACTCCATTCTTGCAAACACTGGTGTCGGCTCTTGCCAGATTTAAATACTGATCGCTATGAAAGACGAGACTTGCGCATATTGTCTTAATCGCTTAAGGTAGTTGTGGTCTTTCTCTTCTCAACAGAATGGTATTGGTATGCCTCCAGCAAGAGTGCGAGTGAGAGAGCGGAGGGAGGGTGAGAGAACGGAATACAACAGAATAGCTGCAAGCAACCCACGGTTTCCTAATAGGAGAGTTGGTAGACACAATCAGAAAGTCTCATTGGAAGGGGAGGATCCGGTGGCAAAGGGCGCGCGCAGTGCCATGGTATTTGGGCAGGTGCAGACGAGTCCTTGTCCTGCTAGTCAGTCCACTGAAAACAATGCAAAGTCTCGACTTGCAAAGCCTTTTTTTTTTTTTTTGCGGTCAAATCTTGTGGCTTCTAAACGGAGGGGCGGAAATATCACAGAACCCTTGTGTAAGGGCAAAGTCAAAAGAATAGTACTTTTTAAAATGGTGTCTTTGCTGTAAGAAGCAGACTACTTCCAAACTCATGGGATCATTTTAGGTCTCAGGTGAGCAATGCTGCAATTAGTTTTTCCTCCTTGCCTCTGATCTCCACCCATCACGCCGGCGCAACTCTGCTCTGCGGTAGAGTCGAATTAAGATGGAGAAAGCTTGCTGCTCTTTGAGGACGTGAGTGAATAACAGATACACAGTTCTGATTTGGGCAGTGTCAGGATAGATTTTTTTTCAGCACGCTGACAGCGTTTGTGAGGGCGCGCCTCGGCAGAATGGTTCAGCACCACGGACAGAGTAAGTTTCAGGAAAAGGGAACGCTTCTTTCGGCTTGCTAGGTTGCCAAGTTTCTCGGGGAGCTGGGCGGATCGCCCTGACCAAAGACCATTCTGAGGATCTTCAGGAATGGATGCTATGGAAACCAAGTGGGAATATGTCATAATCGCCAGAGTTTGTAGCGAGAATGGTGCATTTGGCTCTGCAAGGGAGGAAGACTTTATTAAAAATTGACAAGTAACTTCTGATTTCCTACATTTGCCCAGCACGCTGGCGCCAGCTCTCACCGTGTAGCAGGGAAGGAAGATTATAACATAAATCAATTATGTTTATGGAATTTCGTGGCACCTGGATTCCCTTGGATATAAAATATATGTACAGAAACTGCATAATTATATTCATGTGTTCCGTTTTAACTCCTGATAAGAAAAGAAAAGAAAGAAAGGGAGAGAGGAAGTATGGGAGAGAGGAGAGAGGGGAAAGGCTGCAAGAATAACTGCAACCTTAGTGCTGTTGTTTAAAAGAAGCAGCTTAATAAAAAAATTCCTTGGTATTAATATGGTTTTTCACTTAACTAATTTACAACACACTACTGAAATATCAATATACTGATAAAATTTGTGGCTGTACCTTGTGATTGTCAACAAATTATCACTGATGATATTTTCAAGTTTTATTTTAAATTACTTGTATTATTTTAAAATGTGCTTTTTTTTTCTTTGTACAATCTTCTCCTAAAGCAGAATTATAGAGACATTCCTGTAAACTTTTGCTTTCAAGCATAAAAGTATAGCATCAATGAATCTAGTTCATTAAGCAAATTAAGAAACCCATGCTATCTTAATGTTAATTATTAATGCACTTGACAAGAACCACAAACCTTTCAGATGCAATTTGGGTAAATGATTACCAAAGAGATTGCCCTTGAAACACATTCTCAAGGTTAAAATCCTTGTATTCCCTTAAACCAACAGAGGAAGGAGATTTTTCTTAGGGATCCTGGGTCCAAGTCTCAGAAGTATGAATCTCAATACAGAGTCATGTAAGAATGTTCCCTGAATAGGTCAAATAATACAGTGGGTATGTATATTCCCAATGGATAGCTGAAAGACATTATCAAAAGTAGCATAAGCCATCTGCCATTGTTAAATTTGATAGTTATATTTTATTTCATTATGAATCATGACAAAGAAAAGGATACTGGAGGCATCTTTCTCATTTTGAAAAGCATATGTTAAAATATATGTCTCCAATAAAACACTGTACCAGATTTTTCTAAAACTCTGGAATGCCTCAAAATAATATCTATCCCAAAAGGTGTGAAAAGTAAAATAACACATTAAACTACCTCTTTCCAAATAAAAGATTCAAATTAAACAGAACTTGACAAATCTCAGTTCTATTCAAAATATGTTTTTGAATCTTTAGTGACCAATTTCATTAAGTATAACTCATTTAATATTTACAATTTTGAAATTATAGGAAGTTATACAAAAAATAGAAGTTAAATAAATACCTGTGAGGCTGAGATGGTCCTATAAAAATGATTATTCTAAGAACTCCTGCTTAAGTTTCACTCCAAATGACTAAAGATCTAAACTACCAGGAAACCTGATTACTAAGCCTGTACTATATATATCTGTGGGAACATCAAATAATACAAATTCAACATGAGAGCATTGTTTCTAGAATACATAATTACATTCACCTTTATGGAAATAAACATCATCTGGCTCTCTCCTCCACTCTCTTAATAACAGGGTGAGTGCTTGAATCAGAATTACTGCTAATATTAATTTGTTCATTCTAAAAATATTCATTCAATGCCAAGAGTTGCACTAGGTTCTGGGAATGTCCCCTGTAAACTGTCCGTGGGAAATACGCACATAAGTACAATTATAAATAATTATGGGTGAAATTGGACAAATTAAATAACCCAGACTAAGAATGAAAGTGTGCAGAGAAGATTTCAGGAGGTGATGTACTCTTGTCTGTTTCAATACGTGAAGAGAAATTCCATGGCAGCCCCACAGAATTGGGTGGAGAGGGGTTATGGTACTGGGAGAACATCCCAGTCAGAGAGGACATCTTGAGCAAAGTCATAAACAATGGAAAAGTGTTGTATGTGGAAAATTACAAGAATTGTTACTAGGTCACCTGAGACTAAAGAATGCCATTGAAGCTATTCTTAAATTAAAAATAGCCGCTCCCAATAAGAGAGACATATATTTGGACACTATTCACTAATCTAACAGATTTTCTTCATGTGTGATCCCAAAGTCCAAACATTGAACATGTACTTTTTGACCTTAAGGTCAACATATTTATCTTTATACAAGTAGTTATACATACGGTATTAATTTAATGATATCAGAAAAGTCTTCCTTTCTCCGAACATCCTCCCTTGCCCCAGTTATCTCCCAGCCAAGTTTAGCAGATCCTTAAATTGAATTATTAGACAACTCTTCCTATAGGAGAGTTGTCCTCTCTTCCCAAGCACTCTGAAAAATAAAAGAAGGTTTTAGTGAATATATTTAACATGAGTAGTATATTACAATTTATGAATTTTTATTTACATGAAATATGAATTATGTAATTTTTATTTACATGAAAATGAAATCACTTATTTCTTATAATTATTCTTCAAGCTAATTTTATTCCTATTTTATTGAGGAGGAAAATGAGATTTAATAAATTGCCAGAAGACATGCAACCAGTGATGAAGAAGGAGCATGGGTTCGAATAGTTTCTCACATTTTAAGACTATTAAATATACAGATTCTGATTCAATACGTCTAGGCTGGAGCCCAAGATTCAGCAATTCTACAAAGTTTCCAGGACTACTTGCCCATGAATGACACTTTGAATATCACCAGTGTAGAGTATGAAATGTGAAATCATCTGACCTAGGTTTGGGTACTGATTCTTCTGATTTTCATCCCTGTAACTTTGAATCAATCACTTAACCTTTTTTAAACTTCAGTTTCCTTATTTGTATAAATGAAATGAAGGCTTATAGTAAGTGATCTCTATTATCGTTTCTACTTGGAAAATTTTATGACATTTTCATTTATTAATTCATTGATGTAAAACCTCTTTTCCTTTATTTGTTCAACCCTAAGATTTTTCCACTGTATGTGAGCTGAATGGTTCATAATGAACTGAGAAAAATGCCAATAATATAGAGAAATGTGCTTCTTTCTGAAAGTTGTCATAAAGAAGAGTAAATTTATTGTTTGTTTTACTATGAAAAGACATTGGTTTTCTATGTAATAGTTTAAGTAATTGTCTTATATTATTCTTTGCAATTTACAGAAGATACTACCCAATAGCAACGTGGTAGGTTTGCCATTTGTATCCTGGTGTGAGGAACTACTTTTGAGAGATTACTTAAATGTCTTGCAAATGTTGCCCTCTGGTGGAAGGATATGTAATTACTTTAGAAGCAATTGCCCTTACGTAATTAAAACGATTGCTTTTCTTTTGCTCTCTTTCTTTTTTGGAATTTGTTAAAGTAATATCCATAACTGAAAATATGAAGTCTCTTTGGTGGGCAATACATTTGCAATTGCACGACCATGTACTAAATATATTTAGAAAGAAGTTGATGGAGAATCTCTCACTTAGCCAGACTTTTAAGGAAACTTGACTTTACTAAACATTTAGAAACGGTATGGTAATCACATAGGGGAAAAATGAGTTTCTAATCCCAATTCGATAAACTGTGATAACTTCATAAATATTTTGAAATAGTGATATGTTTGATAAATTTTCTTCCCCATTACCACAAAAATTAAATACCTTAAAAGCACCATATTTAATGCTACTCATGGATCATTGTTAGGTTGTTTTCAAGATAAATTTATTTCAAAAAATAATTCAAGGTGTCTGATACTATTTTGAATGCCACATTTTCTATTTGTTACTTCAACAATAGGTGCTCAACAGATTATTTGCACTTCTTGTGGGCTAGGCCCTTTTCTGGGATATAGCAAACCAATTAACTCAGGACAGTATTATAGCTTTTTATAATAGATGCTGAGAGCTCATTCCTAAAAAAGAACTTTGAAAGGCTTTCTTACAGTATCACTTTATTTGACTTTGAATTCCTACCTCAACTTTCTCTCTAATAATTATACACTGCTTTCAGGTTGAGACCATACAAACAGGCTCTAGGATTCATCGGTGACTCTTTTCTTATCGAGAGTTTTTAAGTGGACAGTTTTAATTCAGCTTTATTTGACTTTACTTTACAGTGCTGACCTTAGAGACTTTTCCAAGAAGTTATGATTATACAATTTCTTGAAAGCCAGGGATAGAATAAATAATTTAGTTTATCTTACCCACATCTGGGCACATAACCCAATACTCTGCAGTCCTTTATTTAGTGCTTGTATAAAATACATTTTGATTTCTCTGTGATCTGTCTGATTAAAAAACTAGAAGAAGGATGTTTTAAATAAAGGTACATATATAGTTTAACCAAGAAAAATGCAGTGTGTCCTTTTTATATACATCTCACTTCATGTAATTTACCTTTAGAAATATTTATACATCTTATTCCAGTCCTTTCTTTCTTACTCAAGTAAAAAAATCCTTATTCATTACATGCCTTTGGGCCTTGGGAAAGTCCACATTTTAAAGTGAATGGACCTAGAAGGTATTATGTTAAATTAAATAAGTCAGGTAGAGAAGCAAAAATACCATATGATTTCACTTATACCTGGACTCTAAAAACAAACAAACAAAACAGAAATAGGTTCATAAACTCAGAGAACAGACTGGTAGTTGCCATAGTGCAGGGAAGCAGGAGGATGCGTGAAATAGGTGAAGGGGATAAAGAGGCACAAACATCTGATTATAAAATAAATTAGTCACAGGGGTGAAAGTACAACTAAGAAATATAATAATAATGTTGTAGTATCTTTGTAGGTTGAGATACATCAACTATACTTATTGTGTTGAACTTTTAATAATGTATATATTTATTGAATCATTATATTGTATACTGAAACCAAAATAATATTGTGCGTCAACTATATTTCAGTTACAAAATAAAAAATAAAAAGAATTTAAACACAAAAAATTATGAAGAATATAAATAGTATTGTGAAAAATAAATAAATAAAGGGAATGGTAGCCAAATACTGTTCTTCTGTTAGCAAAGTATTTCTAATTTTCAATCCCACACTATATACATAGAGTAATGTGATACA